CTGGGTATCTCATTAATGGATATAGATTCCATATTAGGCAACGTGATGCAAGGCGTAAAACACAAAATAGTGGTGTTACAGTTGTTGCCTCAACTACAAGCTTTGCAAGCTCAAAGGATAAAAATTCGATTGCTGCACATTTGACTTATTACGATACAATAGTTGATATTGTTAAATTAGACTATTACGGTCATTTTAAGGTTGTTCTATTTAAGTGTGATTGGTATGAGGTTGAAAATGATACTTATGACCTTACTTATGTCTATTTTAACAAGAGATGCTCTCAGGAAGAGCCTTTTGTGCTTGGATCTCAAGTACACCAATGATTCCTTAAGACTTTTCTCTCTCTTTATCTCTTCTAAAACCTCTCAACTGTATTTTCCTCAACTTTTTCTAGTTGTGCTTCATTCAAATCATCATTTATTTTGTTTGTTTATGTATTTCCTTTATTGATGTATCAAATTCTGAAGATGGTTTTCTTGTTCTTCTTGGCTGTTGGTTTGATCCTATACAACAAGATCATTATAGTTATTATGAGTAGAAGTAGTAGAGTTAAGTGTCTTACTTGACTGTTCCTTAGGCTGATATTGTTAGTCTTGCCCTGTCTTCTGTTGTAGTAAACCAGGTCTTCCCATAGTGGTTCTTGGCTGTTGGTTGGATCCTGCACAACAAGATCATTATAGTTATTATGAGTAGAAATAGTAGAGTTAAGTGTCTTACCTGACTGTGCGTTAGGTTGATATTGTTGGTCTTGCCCTGTCTTAGAACCAGGTCTTCCCATAATGGGTTGGTTCTATTTGTAGTTCTTCTTCTTCTTAACCTGCCACTGCTCATCTGATATCTCATTTGCCTTCTCCTGATTTGGTTGTTGATTTATGTGTGTAGTTGTGGCTCCAACTTCCCTGCTAGAATTAGTGTGCAGGTTATAGAATCAGTTTATAGTACATACAGTAGGTTATAGCTTGCACTAAACTCAGCTGCTGCAATCTTCTATTATCAATTACTCTTATATAGCTGCTGCAATATGCTATAATACAGTGCTGGAAATTTTGGAAACAATTAAGCTCTTCTATAACTGCCTGAACTCAGAAAATTCTGTCCAGTTAATTCGATTTTAATGGCAACTAACAAGGCCCTTCACTCCAACAGAATTTCTTGTCTCTTCTATAACTGCTGCAATCTGATTTGTTGTACATGGCAACAACTATTATCAGTTACTCTTATATAGCTGCTGCAATATGCTTTAATATAGTGTTGGAAATTCTGGAAAGAGTTGAGCTCTTCTATAACTGCCCGAACTCAGAAAATTATGGCCAATCAATTCGATTTTAATGGAAACTAACTATTGACACCCAATTTTGACTCTCCACATTTTATTTAACTAAAGTTTTAATAATAATAATAATAATAATAATAATAATAAAAACAAAAAAAATAAATAAATATATATATAGATATGTTATGAATTTTTTGTAGGAATACAAAAAAAAAATTAATTATTTATTTTATTTGATAAATTTATTTTCATAAATACTATTTTTATAAAAAATTATATATATTATATAAATATTTACTACTTAACTTTCTCAATTTTTTTTAACTATGTTTTTAAGGGTTAACTTGATTTTTTAAAATTAAATATAGTTTCTATTATTGCGATAAATATTTTTTTGACATTTTTTCAAAATTAGGAAAGATTAATTAATTAATGAGTTAGTAATTTATTATATATATATATATATTTAGGATGACTAATTTTATCAAATAAGCTAGTCTTGCAAAATAATTATTTTAAATTTAATAAATTATGGCTATTTAATAAAGAAGAGGTTATAATTTTAAAATAAATTTAATTTGAACAAAACTTGGCAATCCAAGTCTTTTTAATTCAGTCAATCCGCGTGTGCCACGTAGGAAGCACATGAATTGTGCTTTTTCAGATTAAATTTTGACCATCCAATCTAATCCAACGACTTTAATTAATTCATCTTTTTAATATAATATATATATATATATATATAT